AAAAAAAAAAAGTATCCCAAGTAAGTACTCACTTAAGCACCTGTAATAAATGTCAGCCCATAAATGCATATTCATGAAATAGGCTGACTGGTTGAAAGTCAAAGCATTATACAAAGTCTATAATCTTCTTTCCTAGGTTTCTTTAGATTTATGGGAAGATCTGAAAAACTCTAAAGAAGGTCAGAAAGAGTGGCTTCATCGGAAAATCAATGAATCCCAATATATCATTGTTGTATGTTCAAAAGGAATGAAATACTTTGTGGAGAAAAGGAGCTGGAAGCACAAGAGATCCAAGGAAAAGGATACTGGGAAAGGAGAACTCTTTCTGGTTGCCATAGCTACCATAGCAGAGCAGCTACGTCATGCAAAGCAAAATTCACGTGACCTCTGCAAGTTCATTGCCGTTTACTTTGATTATTCCTGTGAAGGTGACATTCCTGGAGTACTAGATTTAACCTCAAAGTACAAGCTTATGGATAACCTGCCTCAGCTTTATGCTCATTTAAAATCCAAAGATCTTAGCTTTCATGATTCAGAATTGTATCCTGTACATATTAGCAAAAGAAACTATTTCAGGAGTAAATCTGGACGATCGCTCTATGTAGCCATTTGCAACATGCATCAGTATATTGACCAGGAGCCTGACTGGTTTGAGAGGCAGTTTGTGTCTTTCTTCCCAACACCTTTACGTTGTCCGGATCCTGTGATAGAAACTTTTGACTCTGGCTTGGTATTAAATGACTTAGTCAATAAACAAGTGACTGATGGAGATTTTTATCTAAAAGTAGATGCAAATGCTGTTCCTCCTTTACATTCGGACTCTCTTTGTATGACACAGCATTTGAATCTTGGGTTGGATAGAGAATCTCAGGACATTCAGAATACTAGCTCCATTCTTCAGCCATTGCTGCATGTTGTAAAAACTGCCAATCTACCAGACATGCCCCGAGATTCAGGAATATATGATTCCTCTGTGCCTTCATCTGAACTGTCACTACCTTTCATGGATGGGCTCCTAACAGATCAAACTGAAACATCTTCCATGACAGAGAGTGTCTCTTCCTCGTCAGGACTGGGTAAGATGTAGTAGAGAAAGAGCTGCACTCTAGAATCGCATGTTTAAGATTTTAAATTTTACAAGATGATAAAAGTTGATGGGTTTTGCAGTCTGTATGTTAAGACCTGAATAATATCAAAGTCAGTAGATTTTGACAAACTACCATTGCTTTTGATTTTGATAATGGTGACAACTTCCAGCATCGCTTTAATTTGATCATAGGGAATTGGAAGCCTTTTTCTCATAAAACACTGCACTGGATCAGCTTCAATTAGATCTATACTTAGGTTAAATTGTTGTGAGAGAAGACAGAGTGGCATACAGTATGTAAAATCTTGTAACTTCTGAGATTTCCCTTATATCTCTAAATATTTCAAAATTGTTGTTATATAGAAGAACTGAAAATACTCCCTTAAAGCAGTAGAAATGAATAGTTATGACGTATAGCCTGGATCTGGAAAATATTTTCCTCTGCTTTGATAGTTCTACCTTGTTTCAATAGCATCAGGACTTTCCTCCTGCATCACCCAACATGGTGGCCAAAGCTTTTTAATAAGAGGAAGCTTGAGCTTCTCAAAATCCATGCCATCAAGAATACTTTCTCTTAAGCTCTTTGTTCCAATAGTTCCTGTGATCTGATCAGGTTTTAGCCTCCCATCCACAGTTCATCAGGTGTTCTCCAAATCTAGGCTGCAGGGTTGGGAAATACCACATAGTATGGGATTTGAAATAATATGGTGGCTGGAAGAGAAATTCTGTTGCACAAGTAGAACTTTAAATTTTGCATGAATATCATTTAGACTTATACACTACTCCATAGTGCTTTACAGCAATCTCTGAGTAGTTTACAACTTCAGCATATTTCCCCCAACTATCTGGGTCTTCATTTTATTGACCTCAGAAGGACGGAAGGCTGAGTCAACCTTGAGCATATCAAGATCGAACTCCTGGCTGTGGGCAGAGTTGTTAGCCTGCATTCTAACCACTGCACTACCATGGCTCAGTGCTAATAGAAGCTGCTATTTTATTGTATTGTTTTAAAGTTTGTTTTATATGTAACAAAATAAATGGTAGTATATGTTGAGTATATTATACATGGTGTAACTCAGCTGTTGGGAGTAGAATAGCATAGGAGTATTAGCATATCAATGAATAAATCTTTGATTTGGCGATAAACCAATTAACTAACAAGACCTTTCCAACATCTTTCTTCTTAGGAGAAGATGAACCGCCTTTGCTTGCTGCCACCAAATCCCTCGTGCCTGGAATATGTAAAGCAGAACTTCATTGCTGTATCCACACAGAAGAACTGCAGGCAATTGCACCTTTATAGTGGATTGAAAGATTGTTATGCATTGCCACTTTATCAACAGCATCTGTTTATACATTAATCTCTCTATCATTACAGTCATTTGACTTATTTGAAAGAAAATATACATTCCTGGAGGAGCTGCTTCCTAGGGGAGTTCATGTTTTATACTTTGTTCCTATATAGTTTTCTGTTTTGATAAGAAAACTCTCAAGAATGGAAAGATAGATATTACTATCGATTTGGGTTTAAGGGAAATGTTGTATTAACAAGGGTTAAAATCCATTTACTTTCTAATATGAAATATAGTTGTTGGAAATTACCAAATGTTTGACTTCCATGATGAACTATGATTTCATCCTAGCTGTGATTCTTTACAAGTATATGCTTTTTCCATCCTTAATTCTTTTATACACAAGAGGAAAGACAGAGTGAGTGCTTGGTTCTAATTATAATTATGCTTCTCTTCTGTCTAAAATGGATATTCTGATTAATACTTATATTGTCATAAAATTATGGTTTGAAAGTAGTTTAAAATGAAACTGACTACAATTCAGTGTAACAGCCTATTTAACTGCAGGAAATGTTTGATCCTCTGATGCTCTGTGCATTATTTGTATCTGGTTCCTGGTTGTAAATGCTGAAGCAACTAGACATCATAATATAATGTTCAGTAATATTTGGAGATTGGAAAGCAGGATTCAGTGTTAAAATACCAAAGATGAGACCTATAAAAATAGGCTTTACTAAAACAGCAATCATTGTTGAATTTTGCTTACCCAACCTAGCATGTTTAAGTAAAAAGTTAAAAAAAATGTTTTGTGTCTTATGTTACTTGTGAGCATACTTATATTAATGACTAGTTTGCCATTCCAATTCAAAAATAGTTTAAATTTAAACTCAATTGTGTTTCCAAGCTGTCTGCTGACATTCATGCTAGTATTAATATTTCATTGTTTAAGTATCTCTCTAAATGTTTTTAACTTTAGAAGCTAAAATATTAAAGTTCAGTTGAACAATTAATTCAAGATTAAGAATATAAATGATTGATATATAACTATTTGTTTATATGAATGATAAAGTATTCTTAGGATCATATCAACCCTTTTCTAGCCCCTATCTTTGAAACCTAAAGTTGTGACCAGATTTGTATTTACTTTAAACTGTTGCCCTGGCTTTGTTGAGGATGTTGTTAACTCATTTACCTTACACTGACATTTTTCCAGGTTGTTTAATATTTGAAAAGAAACATAAGTAGATACATTTGCTTTTTTCAAAAAAATATGCTTCAACATTAGCAAATATCCATTTTCATGTAGATAATGCAATTTTTTGAGTCATTATATAACATTACTAAGGGGAAAGTGGTAGATAAGGATTAAAATATTTCCCCAATTTGTTCTCATTTTTTTACCTTAAATTGAGTCATTTTTGATAGCAGCAATTTTACTACATGTTTTAAACTTTGTTTTTTTGTTTTTAAAATCAAAATTATTCCAGAAAGGAATTTAAACTTTCTTAAATAGTTTAATGCGGGGCAATAACTTTGTGGAAAAATTGTTTCCATAAACAATGATACACATATGATAATCATTTTTAAACCTTGCACTGTCCCTTCTGTATATTTGCTGACCACTTGAAAATGTTGCTTGTGTATCCTGATTACTTGAAAGTCCATACAACAGTTCTGGAGGATTTCCTTAAAATAAGATTAATGTTTTTTTTAAAGTAAAGAACATATGTGGTAAAGAATTCCTATCAGGATTTTCCCAAAAGAACATTTAATCATGGAAAGGTTCCTGTATCTCTTATATTCCTTGAGGATCTGAAGTGGCCTTCCTTTAGTAATGCTGCTTAAAGAGTCATGAAAATTAAAATCCAGTATTTCCTCAGGGCACCATATAGATAACTATCTATATTTTCTGGGTTTCCAGTGGTTTTTGAGTTTGTACTCAATCATATATTCACAATCTGACTTTTATTTAATTAACATACAAATAACTTGATCTTTATTATTTCAGGTTATATCCATCATTTTGATAAAATACTGTCAGTTTTAGGAATTAGCAACCCTAAAATCATATCAATGATTTTTCAACTAACCTAATGTGGTAATTGGATTACCACTAAAATTACTACTTTTCCAAATCAGCACTTCCCTCCACTCTTAGCTGTCTCCTCCTCAGAATAGGTAACAGTTTCCTTTATCGATGTCATATTTGCAATACCTCTCAGGGATATTTTTGGCATATTTTTTATGTTTTACTTGCATGTTTTAAGTAGTCATGCAAGTGAAGAAATGCCTCAATATTGCATACCACCTTTTTTTTTTTTAATTTCTGCCCGCTTCAGAGATCTCTTCTCTTTTTCAAAATCATTTTCCAACTCAAGGGAATGAAAAAAAACTGGTTACAGCCAGCTTGTGATTCCTTATTTGTTCTAATACTATTCATTGAAACTTACTTACCAATTACTTCTTATTGGATTAATTATATTTTATAATTTAACATTACAATTAAAAACATAAAAATTTAATACAAGCTAAAAGAATAAAAATGCAGAAAAGAAAAATAGAACAAAAAGAAAAAAAATAAGGTAGGAAACAAAAAGAAAAGAAATATATAAAGAAATGACTTTTTTCTTCATCTAAAGTATAAACTATTTTAACAACTTATCAACCTCTCTAACAATGCAACAAAGTATCTATTCTTCCCATACCTCATATCTATAAACAATTCGCTAAAGACACCATTGTTCTAGTTAATGAAGTTTATTAATGATTATCAGAGATAACATGTCTATTTTAATCTTTATAAAATAAGTAATTTCCTTTCTTTTTATGGTACTTTTAGCAATCTTCAGTTAATTATATTAATCCACCATTTATCACTTTCTGTTCAGAGAGAACCAATGGCCATAGAAATTTATATATTTCCATGGTATGTTATTTATTATTAAAAAAATAAAGGAACTCTTCATCCCCCTTCATGGTTTTATAATTAAGAGATAAAAAGTGGCATTCTTTTTTCCTGCAGAGGAATAAAGGCCCGTTTTTCCTGACCAACTGCTTTTACATTGTTACTTCTTTTCTCTTCCTCGTATCCCAACACCAAAAAATTAAAAATAAATTTAAAAACCCAAATTTCCCCAAAAACCATGCATACAGAATCTCTTCTGGAGAACACGTAGGAGTTAGTCTTTCTCCATTCTATAAGTCCAACCAACAGATTACAAAATAGAATAAAAATGTAGTGAAGTCTCTTAAACATGCTAATCAAAAAAGATCGGGTGTGTGGGGGGGTGAATAAGAATATTCGAAAAATAGGTCAAAAAGTAGGTGCATATAGTTGATTGTTTAAACCACTATTTCTCAACCTCAGTAACTTTAAGATAAGATAGGTGGACTTCAATTCCCAGAATTCCCCAACCAACATTATTAGTTGAAGTCCAGCCATCTTAAAGTTGCTGAGGTTGGGAAACACTGGTTTAGGCACAATCCTGAGATAAAGATTCCAGACTCTATTAATCGCAAGAAAGAGTAGTGTGGATATTGAACTTATTATGCTTCATAAATTTGAGTAAAACTCAGAAAGGGCTTACACAAGATAAATAGGTAAATTAAGTATTTATGAGAATGCTAGTGAATTCTTGTCATGTAATAGATAAAAAGCTAATACTGTACAAATTGTCCAATTCCTTAAATTTTTTAAGAACGATAGGTTGAAATGTTTTCAGTTTACTTGAGCATTGGAAAAGCATACAATTCCTTTATGGTTTTTATGCAGACTTAAAAAAACCTGATTTGAAGTAGGGATGTAATTCCTTTTTCTAAGACGGAATTAGTTATGTTGTGTTCACTTCTGGTGTAGAAGTCCAGAAAGAATTCAATCAAAAGGAAAAATCTTAGGCTGCTAAATTGCCTGAAGGCTTAATGGGACTTTCTGTTCCCTTCCCTTTGTTGTTACTTATAAACTGACCATAACCTTATGCAGAATTAAACATGATTTGTTCAGTTAGGAATAGTGGTAACTGGAGCAATAGTCTACACTGGGGACATAAAGTAGACCTAGAGTCAAAGAAGAGGCAATATAGTTAAAATATAGTTGCCGATCAATTGCGTTTGTGCACTGGTATACACTTGACCTCCATATATACTAGCGTGTCCATGAGAAAAGTAACTTTTTAGGTAGTACCATTATAAGATGGCATTAGCTAGAAATAATTTACTTGGGTTTGTTTGGATTAAGCAATCACCACAGAAGCTTACAAGCTATTTTTCTCCTTAAAAGACATGGCAATTCCCAGCTTACTTTTAACTTAAAAGTACTTAACTATTTTAACAATGAAATTGTCATACAAAATATTTCTGTATAGAGTGAGGTTACTATTTTTCCTTTCCAATGTTGAAGGTATACCAAAGGCTCAATCATCAAGGTGAATTTTTGAGAAAGGATAGAATTTCCCATGAACAAGTTCTGTACATACTTGCCTGGAATATGTGCTCCTTTGATTATCTGATAAATTCCATTGAGGAATCTATTGAAATATGAATTATGTTTTTATGCAGCTCAGAAAACATTGGATAACATTGATTCATAGATTCTGTGTACTTACACTGAAATTAAACTTGAGTGTATCTAAAATCTGCCTGGTATGCGTCTCTTGGATATTAGATTTTTGCAAGATTGGAGTATTCCAATATCCTTGTGCAAATAGAATGGCCCCTTCCATTCATGAAGGAATTTAAATCTAGCCAGACTGAAAGAAGAGGTTGAAGTAATTTTTGTTGACTTCCTTTTGTTCTGCATCCTCACACTATTTGCTTAGTAAACCAGGCAGTTCCATAGTCATCCTGTGTTGCAGGAGAAAACTGACCATCCTTTGAATAAGATTCTAATGAAGCTGTGGATTCAAACCACTACAGTTCAGTATTTCTGTCCATTAGGACCACAGGAAAGCTTCTTGAAAGCCAAAAATATTAATATACATTTTAGAGGTTAGATTATGATTATTTTAGTATTGTTTTAGATGCCAAACAAATTTAATATTGTAACATAATTCACCATTTTTTAAGACTTTACAGATATGGAGATATTTTATAAATGCTTATAATTCTTGTATGAATTAAATTGAAATATGTAAGAAACATCAACATGGGTCAATACTTAAGTAAATGTAGTGATTTTCATGTTTATGTACAAAAATATAAGCTCTTGGTAATAGCTGATATTAGGGTGAATTTATTTTTATGTTGCCATAATTTAGAAATTAACATCAGAATAAAAGGTCATAAAAATAATTTTGAATTGCTTATGTTTTTATGCTAGATTGTTTTTGTAAGCATGCATTTCTTCAAACAGCTTCACAACAAGAATAACAATAAAAAATGTGTACTTCTTTATCCATTGTTATTACCTTCTTGGGATAAAATCTCTTTACAGCTGTTACTACAAAACATAATTGCTAATAAATTGAAATTGTTTGGAATAAAACAATATATTATAAAAATTTAGTATCTAGAAGCTCTTCTGTTTCTAATGAAATGCAAGGGACTTTAGTTTATAATTATTTTAGTGAATATTATATATGGAATAAATTAGCTCTCAGAGAAAAACTTTTACATGAGTGAATTTAAATGCACTCATAACTACGTGGGCTTCCCTTGCTATATCAGTCTAAGGCTAAGCTTCCAAATAGTCTTCAAGGGCAGTCACATGTAGAAAGAGTTGAAATAGACTAATCACAAAATGACATGATTGTGTGCAATGTTTCTTGCTCCAAAAAAGGACACAATAAGATGTAGTTGTGTAATGGCATTATTGACCACAGCCTCCAACTTGAGAATATCAACTTATGAACCATTTCATTCCATTTGGAGGAGTTCCATTTGGAGGAGCATGATCTCATCCAGAGCTTTAGAAGAAACTTATTTGGTTTCAAAATCTGTAAATCAACTATTGTGAGGGTGAGGCTGTAGCCCAATGACAGTGATTTTTATATTTTGGGGAGTGTCTAGTACCGTGATGGCAAACCTTTGACATGCGTGCCACACGTGGCATGCAGAGCCATTTGTGCCAGCACGCGAGCTGCAGGCAAACTTACCTTACTGCTGATTTTTGGTGGGTTTGAGGCCTTTTTTGGCCTCCCAAAGGCTTCAGGAAGGCTTCTGCAGGCTTTGCAGGCCGAAAACTAGCCCCGTTTCATCACTTCCTGTTTTTCCGAAAATATTGGAAGTGACAAAACGGGGCCCTCTCTCTCTCAATGGTTAGAATATTGCAGGCTAATTCTGCTCACACTGCCAGGAGTTTGATTCCTTCTATCCTGACCAGCTCAAGGTTAACTCAGGACCCAGATTGTTGGGGGCAATACACTAACTCTCTAAACTACTTAGAGAGTGTTGTAAAGAACTGTGAAGTGGTATATAAGTCTGCTATTTCTATTGCTATATTGGCTACCTTTCTCGTGTCAACAAATGACCTCACTTCAGTGGTGGGATGCTGTTGGTGTAACAACCAGTTCGCTAATCGTACACTAGTTTCATGCCTAAGGCAGGATTATATCCAGGTCTCTTGGTTTCTAGTACAGTGCCTTTAACTACTATACCAAAACAAATCAGAACTCATTAGATATCATTTTATGACAATTCTACAATCATATTTTAGTGCTCTCTTAAAATATTAATGGATCTATGAAGTTTGGGCTGAAAGTTTTTCAGTAATATTCATAGCTTTTTAAAAACTTTTTTAAAGAA